GAAATTTGTCAAACTGCAGCTTTGTAGCATTTGTAATTTGGAAACCGGTTCAGAATACTTTTTTTATGTTGTAACAACTTCAAATGCACGTTAATCTATTTTACTATAAATCTTATTGAAGACTGGAAGGCGTTTTGATTATGGCTCTTCAGTGAACTGAATTCAAGGGAAATGCCTACGTCTATATATATCCAAAACTGGATAATTCTTCATATGCAAATGTATCTTTCCGGTCTTCTTGTCTTTTCCTTTGAAGGATGTGGACAGGACATGTGCTTTGTGCTTTGTGATTTTTCTTTTCATTACAGTAAGACGACCTTAGTATAGCCGACTATATACCGTATGAGTTTTCTCATTGCTGAAAGCCTATGATTGTCTATGATTGCTAACATCCACTTCATTTGAACTTTGGTGGATAGTTGTCTCATTGGCAATCATACCACACCTCCTTATTTTTATATTATTACATAATTTTCGGCTTGTATTTGTTATGTCTGTACTAAAATGTTTATACGCGTATACATCCCTTTCACCTGTAGCCCAGACTGTATCTGTATTTTTGTAACAATACAATATGTCTCAAAAATAGAAACCATAAGCTTATGTTTAGTCCAATTATTTTGACAGTCGAAACTTACAACTGATTCTATTGCTGTTTAAATGATTAGGAAGGACATGATGAATCTATTCATAACACAAAATCACTCCACATAAAAGAAAACAACCAAAAGCAAAGAAACAGCGTTTAAATTGATGTGCTTCATCTCAAAATCACTATGAAGCTTTAAACATGGAGAAAAGCTCCCACTTCACCGAAAGAATACTATTAGTCTATCATCGGTTTGAGCGGAAGTCTTCAATCGGCATTGAACCTCGGCAGATTCCGCTCCCCTAGATTGTTAAATATGCCGAGTTGTGTCGAATGGCTACAACTGTGCATGAAATAACACAGTTACAGTAAGACGACCTTATTATAGCAGACTATATACCGTATGGGTTTTCTCATTGCTGAAAGCCTATGATTGCCTATGATTGCTAACATCCACTTCATTTGAACTTTGGTGGATAGTTGTCCCAAATTTATTAATTGTTATTTTCATTTTTCAGTTGCAAATATATAATAGAAATACAACACAAACATAAATTTAACAATTCATCAATTAAGTAGGTTCTGAAAACTATGTTGTCAAGAATGAAAGGTTGGAAGTTTGAACTGCCATTAGAACAAGGTTTAATGTTGAATAGGGATAGAAATTTTGTCTTCTAATAACCCATGTACGAGTTTTTGGAATAGTTATTGCAATGGTTTGTTCATGTTCAGAGAGAGCAATCCCGTCTCACCCTAACATTAAAACGTACAAAAAGGACAAAATTAATAGTAAAATAATGAAGAAAAGAGTTAATAGAATATACAAAAAAAAAAAGCATGACATAATATGCAGTTTTATCAGAGTGGATGGGAGTATCTATAGCCTCTCTCTCTCTCTCTCTAAAATCTGTGTTGTCTTTGTTTTGCTTTTTTTCCCGTAACATGCTGATGCAGATGTCATCTTTAGTTAGTTTGGCAGCATGATGGGCTTCTTTTGAGAGATTTTTTTCACATTTGGAGTTCCAACTTTCTGTGTCGAGTACTATCGAGATGTTTTTTTTTTCAATATGAACACATGGTGCACCATATTCAATGCAGTTATTCTACTTTTCCATGATAAATCAGAGATTAAAGAGACAAGAAGAAAGAAGATAATCAGTTTTTTAAATACAGAAGACTGATATCAATCTAAATCTCAAACGCAACAAGATACATGTACAAATAAGTTGTATTTTTTTTAATTTTTGATGCGTATTGTAGCAAATAGTGTACACGTTTATGCAAGTTTAACTACAAAACTTCTTGTTTATATACAGGTACATGTAAATGTTTCCTTTATATCTCGCGGGATTTTGAAATAAAAAATAATGCTTTGAATGTGGTTAAATTTAAAGACTATATGTTGCCCTCTATTTGTTTTCTTTTTTACCGACCATGCGATGGTTTTTTAACCAATCAAGGTCGTTAAACACTCCCATTGTCGTCTTTCTCTTTTTTTATAGTGTATTGGAGTTGCTGTCTCTTTGATGCATATGTATCACGCGTCTCTTTTAGATAATAAAAATATAAGATTGAGTTGTCTCCCATTATTCTGATTCAACTATTGCTGCGGGTTCTTGTCATTAATAAAAGCGCGATAACATTTGATAAATCTTTTCGAACATTTAGTATTTAAATTTTTGATAATGATAAATTGGGCTTATCCTCAAAATTAGTTTTTAAATTGCCCTTTCTTCAAATTGATTTTCTTCCACTAATACTTCCATAGAAAATAAAAGAGTACCAGGTTTTACCTACAAGTCCTTTGATTTTACTAGACGGGGAGCTTTTTTTAAAATCAAAAAAAGTACGTTGCTAAATTTATTAAGACAAAGTTGCGAGATGGTCATAGATTTCTATAGCAGGGTTTCTTATTTGTTTTCTATGGTTTTATATTGTAAAACTGTTTGTATTTTTACCAGATATTTTTTTTTTAATTTTCCGTTTTCTTTTTGTTTATAGTGTCTTCTTACGCACCAATATGTAATCTTGAATAGCTTCTTTGTTTTTTTTCTTTCTATTGTTTTGACTATACTTCTTTTTGGTTTATAAGCTCATCATTTTTTATAAGCTTTGAATTTTCTGATATTTCAGCCTCGAGCATCAATGAAGCAACATTTATTGTCGAAATGCGTACCTGGTGCAGAAAAATTTGTACCTTTAATGTTATTGAACCGTCAGAACCTTTCAAAATGTCGTCAAGTCTTATTGCTGATTCCGTGTTTTTACATTTTTAAAGCTACATCTGGTATTTTTATGATCTAGTCTTGAAGGCGTCAACCCTATATCCAAACATTTTCATTGAGAAGTTTCGGAATTTTAATACATCATAAAAAAAATACTACTTAGAATACGATGCTAGTGTAATCTCGTTACACCTGAAAATAGAAAAAAATTACAATTACATGTATGTTAAGTAGCAGTAAAAATGACTTTAATAAATTAAATATTTTTTTAAACTTTTTTCTGTTTCCAAATAATAAACGGGGTTATGATTTTATCATATTGAATTTTTTATATACAGCTTTAAGTAAATTAAAATATTTTAACCCAAACGATAATTATTCATTGATAAAAAAAATACAACTGTCCACATGTTCAATTGTTAATGGACAATATAATGAAATAACGATAATTCAAATTCAAAGAGACATATTTTTAAATTCAAAACAGGATATTTACTGGTATGTGTTATTTTCAAATAGTCAGGAATCGTTTATGATCTATGGAAAAAGCGAAAGAGTACTGGGTTACCGAAACATTTTAGTACAGAATACAATGCACGTGAAAAAAAAGACAACAAAATGAATCATTCAATGTCATATGCATGATAATAGACTAATCCTGCATGCAAATCCTTGTGCCTGAGAGTTACTAAACATACAAAAACATTAGTGTAAACAATAATTTAAGAAGAAACTAAATACATCTTGTACATTATAAATTCACATGATGTCAAATAGGATTCAAAAACAAACAACACGTTGGAAGTCGCAATGTCAGATTTATACTGAAACAACTGGACAAAGACTTCAGATTTCTGACGCTAAAGGAGGAACTTTAGTAAAAGTGACCTAAGGTTTTTGTTGTTAAATTCCCCAACTCATGTTTAATGACAAGTGTATGTGTCTCTACTTGTCCAAAGTTGTAAATAAAAGATATGAATTTAAGGACAAAATGTGCATTTCAAATTCACTGATTATTCCAAATTCACTGATTCTTCCAAATTATTTATTTCATTTCACTTAAATGGCAAAACATATGGGAAATATCTTATGACATCACGTTATGCAATATTCATTTTATTGGCATTGGTTCGTATTTAATACCAAGTCTGTAATTTTAAAATACGCACATGTATGAATATAAAAACATCTTTATTACGTTTTTTAATATACATTTTAGAATGATTTTAGGAGTATAGTTTTAATTAGACTGAAAATAATCTAAACATAAATATTGTGACGTTCGTATGCAAAGTCTGGAAAATTTAAAGTAAAAAAAGTATCCGCGGTTAAACAAGCAACAATATCTATATATTGAAACCGTTAAAAATAAAGATGAAAAAATGAATGAAGAAGTATATGCAATGTAAAAATAAATGAAAACATGTGTTATGTTAGAGAGAAATAAAATTATTATCACCCGTCAATGTAACAAAGAGGTAGTTCACAATTACTTACGTTTTAAATGGTGCTGGATATTTTTTTAGGAACAAACAAGAAAGACTTTTATTTTTATATACTGTAATTTAGTTTCTTTTTAATTTAAAATGACGAGTACCGAATTTAATTTGAAGCTCATAGCGCATTTAATTATTTTCTTTATATAAAAAACGACAATAAAGATGAAATAAGAAAGTAAGGATTACTGCTATTTCTTTCTTCGCCGGCTTTTCTACATGTAGATATACTAATCTGGGATCATTGACTAAGTTTCTCCTCGCTTTATATGTTACAAAATTGAAAATAAATATGAGTTTAAACGCTTAAATCTATTTAAAAAAATATACTAAGGTACTAATACAAAAATATAAATATGTTCGTAGAATAGACATTACAGGTTTAGTCTCATTAGAACGATAATAAATATGAGACAATGATCAGACGATCTGATCCGTCTAATTCATGGAGTTATGTGATCTTTAAGGCTGCCGAGGTTATCTCCCTTAGGTAGTGAATTTGCCTTTGAAAAAGTAACAAATACATTTTGAAACTTAAAAAATTAACCTCGTTATAATTTATATATCAAATGATAATTTGCATTTCAATAGTGAAACACTAAAATGGTAATAAATAAATCCAAGAATTTAAAAATGGTAATATGTGTGTATAATTTCAAAATAAAATCATTTCACACTGAGTGAGCATATGTTACAAATGTATATTGTATAAACAGTGCCGTGGGAAATAAGATCTGCCTTTGTATGTAAGTTGAAGAGTAAACATGGTAAGACATCTTTTTCTTTTAAATATTTTTTGAAAGACAGTAGTTGCTACTTTCAAATGGTAATCCGCATGCGTATCGGTAATGTAAGAATAATTAATTGTCAATTTCTCTGATGAAATTGATTAAAACATTATATCATTTCATGTCACTCTGTCGTTTTCTTTTTCTGGACCAATAGCCTGAAACAACGTAGGTTTCACTCAAATAGCGTATTAGCTTTTAAAAGCATTTAAAATTGTGTTCTTACCAAAAATTCCTCATTTTTTGCAAAATAATTTTATCTGAAAAACTAGAATTATTTTTGCTAGATTAATTATCATTTATTTAGTTTTGCATTTGTTTATTTTCTGTATTTTATTATTAATATTTTCTGTATTTTATTATTAATATTTTCTGTGACATTGGTGCACATTATTATTTGAGAAAATATTTAGATAAATAACTTTAGAGGAAAATGTACTCAAATTGTTGGTATTTGGTATCCCATAATTTCATTATTCTTGTTACATTTTAATACATTATAAAAATATTATTTGTCGTTCATTGTCTGTGTTGTCCATGTTATTCTATATATGATTAAAATATCAATATCGTTATATAATATTTAATAAAATAATTAATTGTTTACGTCTTTAAATCTGAGATTTAGATTTTTCGTTTGTTTTCAGTTGTTATTTGACTTTCAATTTGCAATTTGTTCTTCTTTTATTATTATTTTTTCATAAAAAAAATTGATCAATTCTGCTTTGGTGATTTATTCTAAACGAGAAACAAATGCGTTGCATTGTATTTACATAATAAAGTACGTTGATTGTTTAATTTTCAATTACGTGTATTTTAAAACGATTATCTTTTTATCATTTCAATGTATTTTTCATGAGTAAAGTATTTATTAATCGATGTTAATTGTTAAATATTGACTGTTTTGAACGAAACTGAAACTAAAATAGTTGAACAAATATATATTAACAATGAATTTTAGCTTAAAGAGTATACCTGCTGACCACCCTGATTGAAATTACCAAAAATCATTTATCATAACATCCACAAATATCTCCTATTTCGTAACCTGAAAAATCATTCATTTCCTAATAGAAAATCCCAGCGTGTCGTCAATTTCATCACTGTCCGGAGAAAAAAAAACATGTAATAGGCTTTCGCACATATCTCCTCCGGGCGTCAAGGAAACGGAAACAAAAATAATCAGAACATCAAAAGGAAAAAACTGTTGCAGCAGAAAAAGTCCGGATTGTACGGGTTTCGTCTTCTACGTGAGCGAAATAAAAGCAAAGGGAGTTTTGAGTGTGCAATTGTTTAAATCCGGAACACAAAGTCATAAATATATCAAACTTAGTCCCCAATCGCCACGGCAAACGCATTAAACAGTAGATATCCATTAACCATTGTTCTTTTATGGCCCATAAAACTCTCTCGGCCTCCTTTCATCTAAAACACTGAGTAAATGAAAACAAAAACTGAACGCATATTTCAACTTTTTACTTTATTTTAAAATATTCTAGCTGCAAGAGCTTAGGCAGTAAATTTAAAGTTATTGTTTTTTTCAAGAGGCAATTTATTCGCATCGAACAACAGAAATTCCTATCGGAAATTTCTCACAATTTGTGAAAAATGTATGTTAGTTGGTATATTTATCCAATGAAATTTTGTACTTTAAAACCTTTGATTTCTAAAAAATAATCCTCAAATCTAGTTTCATTTAATAACAAATAACAAACATCTACTTTTCTTTAAAATGTTTTTACAGAAGAGTGGAAAGTAAACACAACAAAATATTTTCATAGAAGCAATAAATAAAATATTTTTAGGTCCATGATTTTATTTTTCTACATATGTACATACTCATGATCAAACTTCCAATTACAAAAAAAATAGGAGTATAGGAAAAATTGCGATTAATAATATCGAAATAATATCCCATGAGATGGCTTATCAAATAAAAAATAATTATTTATGTACCTGCTATTACTGAAATTTAACTATTTACGAAAATTCGAATTAAAATTTTAATGATGTCGTTAAAACTATCTCATGTTTACTGATAAATTAAATCAAATTCAATTTTGCAAATTTACTTTTTATTAAAAGTAAGCTTTTAGCTAGGCATTCAAATTTTCATAAACATAGAAAATAAGCAAAATGCATACCTTCGGTTAAATGTGTCTACTTACATCAACGAACACTTCATTTTTACATCTCACTTATTCCTTGTTTAAACCAAAGTTGTTTTAACGAAACCACCTTTCCCAAGATAAGCAAAGAAAATAATGAGCAAATTTGATAAAATGATCCTTTATTAGTGTTATGGACGCTAATAAATTAACAATTTTGGCGTTTTATTGCCAATTTAGTGCACTGTAATGTCAGATAATTCTCCAACAAATGCCCAACATAAATAATTTTTTGACACGTTGTATGATCATTTTACCTGCTTAATTACCAACTGGACACATTTAAGTTCAGCGCTATTAAGTTCGCAATACAAATAAAACATTAACATTATTTAAATTAATTGAAACAAATAAATTAAAAAGGGTCGCATGAAAACGTCAAGTCAGATAAATTATTTATAAATGGATGATAAAAATGCATGAACCTGAATTCTTTATCGTTTAGGTATTGTTTGTAGATATTTTTCAAAGAAAAACACGAATTTGTGATAATGGAATACATCTATTTTGAAATTGATTTATAATAGATCGCCTTATATTAAAGTATTTAAGGTTTAAAACGCAGATAATGACAATTTATGATTTTTTCATTGAGATTAGTAAGGAAATACAGTAATAAAGTTTTATTCGCTGATAGGTAAAGATAAATAATGATAAACAACAGTCTCTAAATTATACGAGTTATTTCCCTTTGAACATCTAACGCCGATGGAATGGATTACTGCTTAAACGGCTTAGTGATATTGGTTTACATTAATCAGAAATGCTTACCAATCTAAGCAGAGAAGTTAAATATAATTGAAGTAATTCACTGAGAACGTCTACTCATTTTATTCTTCATGAATCATTGATTAATACTCTCCTCGGGCCTGTTTCACAAAGCTGTCTTAGGACTAAGACATGTCTTAGGATGGTCTTACGACATATCTTAGTCCTAAGTGTGTTTCACAAAGTGATCCTAACTTAGGACATCTCTTAAAGTTGATCTTAAAGCTAGGACTGCACCTAGAGGTGTCTTATGATGGTCTTAGGATAGTAATAAGTTTACTTATTTTTTATATTAATTTTGCAAATTATCTAATTATTATCTCATTATCTAATCTCCTTTTCCTGCTCATAACTAAATCTTTATAGGTTGACGGATTATCAAAATGATTTATCAACAATGAGCATTCGATGTATTTATAGCAAGAATGCACGATTTTATCCTTTTAATACACCTTATTATAACCGATACAGTGACAAATTGAATGCAACTCACTTGTACACAAAAAGTATCATCATCTTATTTTTTTTTTAATTTTGTATTTGAATTTTCATATGTATATTGGTGTATTATTAATAGATTATTTATATAAATTACACTTATTTTTTCAAGTTATCTAATTATGGAATATTAATCAATACGTTTAGTAATTTATGGGAAACATACTACATTTCCATGAATTTTTCCATAAATCCATGTTAATATTTAAAGATTTAAAAGATCTTGCGACAGGCTTAGGATATCTTAGCTAAGATCATCCTAAGACAGCTTTGAGGCGAGGTCTGAGATATTTCCTAAGATAGTCATAAGAGGGTTATAAGACATGTCCTAAGATATATCTTATGACAGGTCTAAGAATAGCTTCGTGAAACTGGCCCCTCATTTATAATTCTTTCAAATATCACTTTTACCATTTCTTTTGTTATACAGTAGACGCATAATTTGTTGCCAATGTATTATCTTCAGCAGAATTCAAATGAAGTTTGCTAAATTAAAAAATATCAATGTTTTGTTTTTAATATTGACACATTTACTTTTGATTGACATGCATAGATGTCTGAGTAATTTTAAACTTTGATTTTTCAAAAGGTTTGGATGCGGAATCTTAACTACGTAACGAAGTATATAGAATAGCTTTTTGACAGTCAACTCGGAGACTTCTTCCTCATGTGCGGCTTGCGTCACGAAATACTTTATTATAAATAGGTTTCTTCTTATTGCAAATTAAAGCAGAACCCAAAATATGTTATGTACCAGAATGATTCCCCTTTGACGCATCGTACCCTCAAAACTGTCAAAAACACACACTTGATGCAGGACCAAAGATGTTCTTTCTTTACTCAAAAGTAGCATGAAATTTCACAAGAGAATCATGCATATTAGTAAATGATAAATGCTTCTTAATGCATAAGAATATACGGTTTATTAACTAACATTATTGCTGATAGTTTTGTGGAGACCACGAATTTCTCTCTGCTTAACCATACCATAATGAGATATTATAATTCTGTAGAAATAATGTATTATTGTGTGTGGTAGTTTTAGAAATTGAAAATTAAGACCAAAATGAATAATTGAAAGCAAAAGCTCGAATTCTGAATGCAAGCCGGTACAATTTCGTTGTATTCCTTTTTGAAAAAAAAAACAACCTAAAACCGTTTACAGTTTAGTTTATTGTTCTTAAAAATCACTCCTTTCTTGCATTCAAACAATAGTTAAAAGGTTAAACTATTGAACCAATTTAAGTAGAAAATGTTTATCTTAATAAAATGTTATATAACTGTATTTAGTTCAAACAATTTTACTTATGTCTTTTTTTACATCAGACTTTAATGTTCTTTGGACTCTTCGTTTCTTTCCCATCAGCCCTTTGATATTCTTTTGACTCTTCGTTTCTTTCCCATCAGCCCTTTGATATCCTTTAACTCTTCGTTTCTTTCCCATCAGCCCTTTGATATTCTTTTGACTCTTCGTTTCTTTCCCATCAGCCCTTTGATATTCTTTTGACTCTTCGTTCCTTTCCCATCAGCCCTTTGATATTCCTTTGACTCTTCGTTTCTTTCCCATCAGTCCTTTGATCATTCATTGGACTGTTCGTTTTCTATAGAAACAGATGCAATTATATAAAGCAATTTTCAATTCTGAACAACTGGAGAGTTCGTACAGTTCACAAATTAGGCCATCTGATTAGATAAATTAAAACAGCATCTGTCAATTATGATGGAAATACTTCAATCCATCTACTCTTATGATCAAGAGTTTCGCATTTTGAAGTTGGTACTTGTCTCTGATCTGCATTCCAAATATAAAACCATCTATGATTGCATAATTGCTTACATACTGGCGCATGTCGTAGATCAATTAAAAACGTCAAAATTTAACATCGTGGCGGAATATGATATCTTTATGACGTTCTAAACACTAAATTCGCTGCAGGTTTAGAAAAAAGCGTTTGCCAAAACATTTAAGTGACCTTGCAATCAATTATTTTGGTAGCAAAAGCGCTTACATAAATTTTATTGTTCTTACAACACTTAATATGATACCAAAAGTAACAATATATCAAGAAAATTGTTCTTTATATTGAGTGTTAATTGTTGTTTATGGTAAAAATCATCATAAAATTGAATTTAATGATAATCACCGTTTAAGAACTGTGAGAAGATTTACGAGTCGACGGAGTTTTAATGTTGTAATAGTGTATTGACATAAGTATAGATGTCAGTGTTTGTTACACCCGAAAGTTTGAATGAATGCATGAATGAATAATAATAATAATAATAATAATAATAATAATAATAATAATAATAATAATAATTAATAATAATAATAATAACATTAAATCAATGATGATGAAGATGAATGACAAAATCGACGCGAGTTTTAAAGACGTTTATATATATAACGTAAATAGGAGGAAAAAGTAGTTATTCGAACCGCATTAAATCCAAATGGAGTGAAACCGGATGGATCTACATTGTAAGCGCCTCCTGTAATGCATGCATCCCCCTCTCTTTTTAAATCAAACTTTGGTAATTCTACATGTGTTTTGGTATTTGAATAGAGTTTTAATAAATATATATAACTATATACATATATGATACAACAGCGGTCTGAATTGACACATGATGTATATGCTTTTTCAACATTTTCTTCTATGCATATGTGTCTTATGACGGAATCCGTCTCTCTCATTTACAATTAAATGTTTCAGTATACGGTGGTTAGGACTATGATAACAAGTTTGTAGTTTTTATAGAATAAAATGAAATCTTATTAGATTTTTAGGTGATCATGGCACATAAATGTTTAAAATGGCAGAATTTGAAAAAGAGAGAAATTGGCATGCAATTCGTTGTTTTTTACTTTATGCATTGACAATGCTGAGGCATCTAGCAAATATTAATCCGTATCTTTAACTATTAAATAACGTTTTCTTTTTTAAAAATAGCGACATCTAATATTACTTAAAACGTACGTTAAATAAAAATGATTTTTTCCGACTTTTAATCAATTTCGTTTCACTAATAAACAAATATGAAAGACGATACTGCATGTAATATGAATCAACTCTATGGTTACGTCTTTGATACTTCAAAGTAGCCACCTTCCTACCTAACTAAACTTTTGAATCAGATACTATTTGAGGATCGCAATGACTCAGTCATTTAAAAACCATTCGTAAACATGGGCTTTTACTTAGGCAAATCAATTTCACATCAGTTTCACTGATTTCAAAGCTTATCTAATTTCTTATTCAATAACACAGCATCAAGTTCAAAAGGATAAATATTTTAGAAGCGTGGCGCTATGATCATAAACGTAATATTTAGGCATAAAATTGACCGGCGCCGGCTTCAAAGTTGACATACAGCGAATTATGAATAAAGTTATCAAATACCCATTTTTGGACAGGATTTCATTTAAGGGCGTAACAATGCTTATATATACACAAACATGACCTACTGTGGCTCAAATCAATCATTCCTAAATGATCTTTGCAATACTGAACATATTAAAACGTCGTAAATTGTATTCTTTTTCTTTGCATTTGTTTTCTCTTCCATCAGATTATAACCTCAGAATAAATTTCACTTGATTTGTAATATGAAATCATGATGTTGTTTACTGCAATACCTTTAAAAGTTAGTATCCAAACTTTATTCTCTGCAGAAAATCTACCATTTAAGGCATTAAAAGGAAGGAGGAATTAATTTAACTTTTATTTATCTATAGCACACATTTCGAATAGAAAGCCAATTATTACCTACACTAACAGTTTTGGGTTTCAACAGGTAAAGACTAACAGAAATTATGATAAAAACGCTTGTTCTTAATTCTATTCTTTAAAAAAATACACTTTCTGCTATTAATTATAAAGGATTTTTTTCCCGCTGTCCAGATATAAATAGTATTCGAAAAGTTTTTGTGTATCAGCAATCACCAGGAACGCTCTGACTCTTTTAGCAATCTTAATTGACTAGGACTGTCTGTTTTTCTGCCGAAGGTAGGTGGTTATCTGTGGGCACTCCGGCTTCCTCCACCAATATATTAGCTGGACGCCACGATATAGCCAACAATACCGAATACCGAAATTCGTCAATAAGCCTAAGTATTTTGGCGAATTACAGTTTCCCCGGATTCAGCAACAGAAACCACCAGTGCTACATTATCGTAGCAAACTTATCAATGAAATGATAATAGCTAATCCTAGTTTCTAAATAAAAATAAAAAACGATCTTAAATGTTTCATTTCAGGACTTGAGGGCAAGCAATGAACAAGTCTTAGAGATTGGATAACACGACATAATCTACACTATGGCGATAGAGTAAAATGTTTCCCGCTATGAGCAGTTTTGGCAGCACAGAATTTCAACATAATCTGTTTGATAAATATATTTCCTGCAATCACTTTAACGACAGAAATATATCAGAAAGTTACAGAGACTATCAATTTCACCCGACTATAAACAATGATATTAGACCGGGCAATAATTCATATGTCCGCAAGTTGAACAGTGAATATAAATATCGTGAACAGACAATCAAAAACCCGTCTGACAATGGTACTAATGAATCATTGGATTATGATCCAGATATAAATCAAAGATGTAGTAATCAGGACTTGGACAGAACTTCATATCATACCATGGGGCAAAAGTACGCTGTTCGCGGGATAGAAGACTCAACTATTCAAAGCACTCTCGTAAAGACAGATAACATACGAGGAGACCCGAATAGCGACGAGAGCGATGATGGAGATGGTATGACATGTCGTATGTACCCTTGGATGAGAACAAATGGTGGTAAGTTGGGCGTGTGTTTACTCTTTTGGTAGCAATGTGTGTGATGTTTCAGTTGATCATGACATATGCTTTGATATAAATTTCTTTGCTTTTGTCAACTATAGTTTGCTCATTGTCGAAGGTCATACGGTGACCTATAGTTGTTAGCTTCTATGTCATTTTGTCTCTAGTGGAGAGTTGTCTAATTGGCAATCATACAACATCTTCTTATCTTTATATATACATAAATGAATAAAGATTAGGATTTTGGCAATTACTATCACTGAACACATATTTCAATTTCGTAGTAAAACCCGGGGATTAAAAGCAACGAGAAACATGCGTTCTTCAAACTTCAAAAACCTCGTACATCTACATCACATGATGTGCATGTATAAAATTAAGAATGGAAATGGGGAATGTGTCAAAGAGACAACAACCCGACCATAGAACAGACAACAGCAGAAGGTCACCAACTGGTCTTCAATGCAGCGAGAAATTCCCGCACCCGGAGGCGTCCTTCAGCTGGCCCCTAAACAAATATATATACTAGTTCAGTGATAATGAACGCCATACTAAACTCCAAATTGTACACAAGAAACTAAAATTAAAAATAATACAAGACTAACAAAGGCTAGAGGATCCTGACTTGGGACAGGCGCAAAAATGCGGCGGGGTTATGTATGTATTGACCGCCGTACGAATAACAAATATATCTAGCATTTAAATGGCAAAGTTAGACAAACGACAAAACCGTATAACTTTCTTAGTGACAATCGCAGTTGCTCTACCTCATATATATATTTTTTGAGTTTGAGTGTTTTAAGTAAGTCGTCAAAATAAGAATATCCTCGAAAATATCGTATCAACGAGAAATGTAACAACAATAGGATGAGGTAAGATATGACTCGAGAACGAGAATGGAGAGTTGACGAAGAGGAAGACTGAAATCATCAAATTTGTCGAAGATTCAATTTGATAGTTTTTCATCAGGGTCAACTTCAAAATGTATAATAGCAATTATCTGCTACTTAGAACTAAGATTTTGTGGGAATTAATATGGTTGTTTTTTTTAACAAAAGGTTCTTATTTTATAAAATTCAAATTCAGCAATGCTTTATTTTACCATCGTGTTTTGTAAAACTCAAAGTCTCTTTAGTTTTCTGCGTTGTGTTTTGTGTCATGTCTGTCTACCATTCTTTAGATAAGTATTTCCTTGACCCTCTCGGTATATCATTATTTAAAAAAAAACTATCAAACGTTTAAGAAAGTATATTCTTTTTTTTTACAAAAATATTTTATAAACGGACCACAAAAGTAGATAATAACCGGTAAATCGGTTAAGAACTCACAGTAATATGTTGTTCCAGTGTTTGCACAATTCCAGGCTTCCAAATAGTCTTTTTTTTTGGCTTAAAATATAAAAAGTACACATGGACATTGCAAGAAATCGAAGTGGTAAATATCGATATGAATAAGTACTTCAGTGAAAATTCTTTTCGGTGACGGACAAGAATAAATAAGATGGCTTTTATATTTCATGAAACGCCTTGTATTGTAGTTCAGATGCTAAATCATTAGTGCTCACCACTATGAATGGAGGCACAATAAGCAAGTTGTGAATAAAGAACGGATCTGTGACATCATAACCGACCTTGTGTTAACATTGGAATGTTTCGAAACAATTGCTGACATGTAGCAAGGCAATACATTTTAGTTATGTTTGTCATTTTGTAATTTACTACCTCACTAAATTATAGTACTTTAATTTATTCGGGAAGTTTAAGCTTGGAAAACCAAAAAAGTTTAAAAAAAAGTCTAAAGTACAAATATACCATGTCAATTGTAACTTTGAATAACAGTGTTATTTATAAGTACAAATGAATACAAGGAAATATGTGGTATACGTAAATAAGATGTAGCAACCCAACGACCAAAATAAATAAAAACATATAGAGGTTAGCATACATCATTACACAATAGACATGTGTTTATACATAACGTTTAGCTCTGAGTCGTCAATAGTCTATAAAAGTTGTGAATATTTTAACAGATTTAACAGGAATAGACAGAGACCAAATATCCAAACAATGAAAAACATTAAGATATAACACACGACTTCTACTGACGAAGTATTTGACTTGACACATGAAAATATGGCGGGGTTAAACTAGTTTTTAAAAGATCTCGACCCTTCTCTTTTTAATCTGGATCATTGCTATTGTACGTGAAATAGCATACGATAAAACCCATTACAGAAAACTCATTTGACTCTTATGTAACGATACAATCAGCTTTCTGTATGGAATTGTCTTATTTAGAAGATAAGAAGAGGAGCAAGACATATAAGAGATATTCGAAGTTTCAAAACAGAAGAGGTTCATTGTCTTCTGTTTTTTTCTGACTCTATATCCATCCAAACCCTGCTCGTGGCCATTCTTCAGTCGTTCAATAATCTGTTATTGTTCATCAGAGTTCCTTATTTTTTAATCAAACAAAGTAAAACTCTGAAAAGACAGAGAGATGCAGTTAAAAAGTACTTTTAACCTTTTATAACACATTTAACAGTTCAGCAGTACCAGGTAACCTAATATAATAAAACAATTCTGCATTAATGCAATAGCTAAGAACCCATGAACAATAACCCATAAAATTATAACACAACAATGGACAAAATATATTACATTGTGCAAGAGGCGGAAAACCCTCATCTGGAACAATACAGAACTGACAATGTTATGTTTTATAGATCTATACCGTTATATCATAGGAACTATTTTATGTCCAATTCTAACACTGTAAACTTGTCGCTTTAATTACAAAACGTAGCAGGTTTAAGATCCCCCTGCAATAAAATCTGCTTGTACAATCATTATAGAGATTTGATTCATCAGGAAAACGGAAATTTATTTCATTTCACTGCATTTAAAACAGAAAATTTATAGGAATTCTTCAGTGAAGTGAGTAAGCTTGTATCACAATTTATGAAGTGACATTTACGACTTGATCTGCATATAAACTTGCCGCTTTTATTACCAGAAATTTTCTTAACATAAAAATAAGGAGGAGCTACTTCCGCTTTACCGCAGTAGGCGGAGAATTCCATGTCGTTAAAGGGTCGTATAACTGTCATGTGATACTACCATCTTTAATTTATACTTTTTCAGGATTAAACAGTAAAAGGGGAAGACAAACCTATACCAGATACCAAACTCTTGAATTGGAAAAGGAATTCCATTATAACAAATACTTGACCAGACGACGACGCATAGAAATAGCACATGAATTGTGTTTATCTGAAAGGCAAATAAAAATTTGGTTCCAGAATCGTCGAATGAAGTGGAAAAAAGAAACAAAACCAATTAATCAAATACCAGTTCTTCAAAGCCAACTGCCTATATTGAAAAATGTACATTAATATGTATATATCTAATATTTATATCATATATTTTATATAGTAGAGTTTTTATATATGTATATATATATTGTTTAGCGAAGATCACTTCCGATATGTCCGAAAAATAAATTTGGCAATGAATGTACATGTTATGTCGGCACCCTGTATTAACGAGAATTTGTATTGTAAATAATTTTATTATATTTTTGTATAAGTGTTATTTTCTATTGCGGCTAATTATGTATTTTTATTTTATATTCCATAGAAAACGGTGTAAACGTAAAAATTGAATTCCATTTTCGATTTTTTTTCTTTTCTTTTTTCTTTGAAATTTATATAAGCATTTTCGAGTGGTGAAACACTTTTGACATCAGATCTGACCGTGTACATGGTGTAGTCTCAAGTTAATATTACCTTTTGAGACTTAACAACGATTTGATTGTTGTGTTTAAGAGGGGAAACTATACTACGCTTCTCCGAAATTATATTTTGAAAAAAAACTTTTTCATTAAAACCAACTTGCAATGTATTGAAATTAAAAGAGACAAGTAATCGAATCGTATTCTTTAATGGAAACAACATCAATTCGTTGATTAAAAGCTTCAAACAAGACTTGTTTCTTTCGGGTTTTTAGGCATTGGAGTTATGTGCATTGCACTAAATTGCAACTTCCTGACTTACTTTTCATGATGTCGCTGTATAAACTAATTCCGAAGAATATTCTACGATATTACAGTGTAGGAAGGCGTTTCTCTCACTTATCAGTCTAAATACTCCGAGCATGTTATCAGTAACTTCGAGCATTCTTTCATATTGTTTTGCTTGTACTTGTGTTTTTGTTATCGATTATTCTAGTACGTTAGGTAAGTGTTTTTAGTATTTAGAATTCATTATTGTACGTTCAGAAACCTATTCCATACTAGGGCCCGGCCTTCAACAATGAGCAAAACCCATACCGTATAGTTAACTATAAAAGTCCCAGAAATGACATATGTAAAACAATTCAAACGAGAAAAACTAATGGCCTGATTTTTGTAAAAAAAATAATGAATGAAAAACAAATCTGATATACAGCAATTAACGACAACTACTGAATTACAGGCTCCTGACTTTGGACAGGCACATACAGAAAGTGGCGGGGTTAAACTAGTTTTAAAGGCGCCAACCCTCCCCTTAACCTGTGACAGTGGTGTAACAGTTACTTATTATCACAACACGAAACTACCAGATTCCGTTGTCGACTTATCGAACCACAGACCTGTCGGCATGTCGACCAAAAAACTTGTAAAACGTAAAACATGAAATAACTGATAAGTTAACTAATTGATTTGGGTATTGTCGACTTGCTTACACGTCCCGAGTTGACTCGGATACTTGTTGAAAATAAATAAAACCGACAAGTAAACTTTTGTCCTGTCGATCCGCTGCCTACTTGCTGATTCGTAACGGCTTGATGACTTGCCAACCTTTTAAATGGCCAACTCGTTAACCTGTAAAGTGTGACACAAAATAAGATATTATTGATGTATGGGCCTATATAAAAATAAAAAGATGTGGAATGATTGCCAATGAGACAATATTCCTCCAAAGAGCAAATAACGTAGAAGTTATTAACTATAGGTCATCGTACGGCCTTCAATAATGAGTAAATCCATACCGCATAGCAGGCTACAAAAGTCCCCAAAATCACAAATGTAAAACAAATCAAACGAGAGAAATTACGACCAGATCAAGATATGAAATGAAAAAAAAAATAAACGAAAAACAAATATAATATACAGCAACAGACGACAACCACTGAATAACAAGCTCCTGACTTAAACATGCACCTACCGAATGTGGCGGTGTTAAACATGTTCGACCTCACCGCAAGCAGTTTCTGCTACTCGTAAAGGTTGTGCTCTACATTATTTATATGCGTAAATTTCTCAAAGTAAGTATATATACTTTTTAAGCGCATTAACTTCTGTTGCATCAGCGTAAAAATATGAGATAATTGTAGACAAAACTACTTAAACCTATACCATACTTGGACCCTTTCATAAGTCCAGTGATCAAGACCAATTAGCATGAATTAAGATCTCAAAAAAACTTGTCCAACATCACCGCATGTCATTTTGCCTTTTTTCGTCAGAGGTGGATACCAATTATATGCTATACGTTTTTGTTGTTCTTGGAATTAAGGATTGAAGATATCTCTGATAGCATCCGTTGAATTTATTCAGAAATTTTCTAGACTTGAGATTGACGTATCTTATGGGCGCGTGTTTATTGTTGAAAACCGTATCCTGATCTATGAGGTCTATTTGTTTTTAGTGTAGATGGACGGATGTCTCATGTCAAGCTTATCTTCTTGATTCGTTATTTACTTAAAGTAAATATGAACTGCAACATAGAGACAAACATACACCACTGGTCGCATTTGTCTTATAATATATTATGAAAAGTATAAATGTCTGTTTTGGTAAAATGATGATGCCCCATTTTGAGATATTTAGTTATCGTTAAGTTCAGGTAGAGGATAATGTGTACAGGTCTGTCTGTAGATGACAACAAAGATAGTCCAAGGTCCAAAACTTGAGTATACAGTTCTTAAGATATATTTGATGTAGGAAAAGAGAAAGATACCAAAGTGCAATTACCAACCATAAGTTTAAGAATAACATAAACATAAATGAAAAAATGATGAAATAACAAACAAAAGTCCAGAACACATTACACAGAAAACTAAAGATTGAACAAGAAGAATATATGTGCGATATCATTGAAAAGGGAGATAATAATACACAAAAGAAACGTTAAATCGAAGAGTTTCGTAAACAATTTATTTAGTCAGTTTCTTGAATTAAATAAAAACCAAAATATAACTTTTTTAAAACTATTTATATTGAAACTAAAACTGAGCAGAAAGCATGTGGTGTGCATTAATATATTTACCTATTATTTTACTGTGCATAGTTACACTAGTATCCCTCTCGGCTTCAATATTTTAAAAGATTTGCATTTAATTTAAATGTCCTGTAAACTGTGTCTATACATTTTCTAACGGAGTACGAATTTGATTATTAAAATAAGAAGATGTGATATGATTGCCAATGATACCAATCTCAACCAGAGACCAAATGACATAGAACTTAACAACTACGGGCTCCAACAACAAAACCTATTTCGCATAGTCAGCTATAGAAGGTCCCGAAATGACAAATGTAAAACAATTCAAACGAGAAAACTAACGGCCTGGTGTTTGTACAAAATATTGAACGAAACACAAATTTGTATATATCCATTTGAGGGATTTCGTCATACTACCCTAATATAAATAGTAATCAATAGCTAACTAGTTTCCCCAATAACATTCTAAGTTTATTGAAAAGCATATCCATCTTTAAAACAGCACACAAGATTAAACAAAAAAGAAATGAAATTGTACAGAAACTAGAACAACAACATTGCTTACTATTAACTTCATTTATCAAGCAAAAAAAAAACCCCAAATATTAATCAGTCATCTTTATTCCTGTAAAAAATATCCAGAAAAATAAGTAAACTGGTTACCGGCAATGGTTTCTGTTTTCGGATGTCTATGTTTGATATAGACCCGGTCCCCTTTTTTCAGTTCGATTATCACGCTTGTAGTTTGGGATCCATAATTAGCGTCAGATGTGTATCCGTTAACATACATTGCATCATTTTTATTCAATTGGTATCCAAATTTATTTCCGTTCTCTGCAGAAATTACACAATTGAAAGTATAAATACCAGCCATTGGTGCTGTGAAAACCCCCGTTGAAGGTTGATACGCTTTTACCCTATTTACTCTAACATCATCAAACTTTACAATTTCTTTTGCATGCACAGTTGTAGGGCGTTTTGTAAGTGAAGCAAAAAATACCGGTCTCGTCTTAGAATCTGTGAAAAGAAGTAATCAATTAAGAATACATATGATTTAGCGTGGAAATTGATAAATTGAAGTACCAGTAATTCAGATTATGTGCATGTACATGTAAACAGAAGATCATATGTATTGAAGGAAAAACAAGACACTTTTTAATTTTCAGAGGAAACAGTTGTTTTCGGCAAACAATTTTTTTTCCATATAAACATTGTTACATTGTTTGAAGAGGTCCTGCAAAATTAAGATATATACATAAGTTGAATTCACAGGATATAAAGACATACCTATGCTTGGCTGTCCTTTGGTCATTTTCGTCAACATCTCTAGAAGACCCTGAGTTATATCTGAAGAAAGAATGTGTTTATCTTCAATTATACATGTGGATTGCAGTCAAAAGCACATTAGTTCAGTAGATATCTAAAAATTATTGTAAACTCCACTCGTAGTATTTATTCTTTTAATTACATATTTCCTGCGAAGTCATCTAAAACGTAGCGTGATGTGCACTATGATTGTTTAAATATTTGAATTGTTTCTAGAGTCTATTTTACAGTGATGTTGTCGGACAAAATACGAGACTATTTGTTAGGTTTTTTCGCCCATTTTTTGTTGGTATTACCCCACAGGTGTGTTCCTGAATGCAAATATGCAGTTTCATGAACATTTATGAAAGAATCACGCTCAAACCTTTTTCACCATTGTAGAGGCCCTACTGTCGCTTTGAAATGAGAACTGCAATAAAATTGCTGTAATTCTTGGCTTTGTCAAGTTATTTTTTATATCTCGAATGAATACACCATTTTTTTCCATCACAACAAATGTTACTTATTAAAAGACCTTAAAAAACACATCAACCAGTCCAGCAGTCAATTCTTTTGTGTTGACACAATATGGTCATAACTATAAATTATAACTGTTTACCAAATTATGTGAATCTTTGAATTCGAAAAACTAAGGGTTTTCTACTTAAAGCTGTGTTTGGCAAAACCTTTCGAAATTTTTGGTCCTCAGTGCTAAACTTTGTACTTTATTTGGCCTTTTTAAGTTTTTCGATTCGACCATCACTAATGAGTCTTTTGTAGTCGAAACACGCGTCTGGCATACACAATTTTAATCATAGTATCTATGATGAGTTTTTTGAACGAAATATAAAGTTGAAAAACAAATATTCAAATGTGATACGAACCATTTTGTCGATAACAACTTCCTATTGCAACACCAAAACATGTTGTCAAACCAAAAACATACATGATCCACATTATTAGGTTATGTCAACTGTCTGTATGATAGTACCACACACAATATGTTAGTCTTAATCGTAACTATTACCAAATATAAATACCGATAGTTGAATAAATATGTTTACCTATCATTTTGAAACACGACACGCATGTTCAGCAGGTGGTGTTGGTAGTGTGTCAAATAATTCCAAGAACCAATGAAACACTTTCGGTTTCTGTTTCTATTTTTCAATTTCGATTTAATACTGAATTTCGAGACTTTCTAACGATTTTGTTAGTTTGCATCATGGGGAAATAAACCGTCATTTGTCTTAATCTTAGTTTGAAAAATTCATAAAATAAAATCTAAGGAACAGAGCCCTTGAAACGTTTTGTAAATCTTAACAGTCAAATTATGATTTAAAAGAAAAACCAATAAGGTGATGGTGTTGGTTACCAACGAGGCAACTAGCAATGACTTGAGGATGAAATTGTTAACAATTACAGGTCACCTAACAGCTTTCAACAATGAGCAAAACATATGCCGTAAAGTAAATCATACAAGTCCAAAATGAATGAAAAAGTCAAAAGAGAAAACCAACGGCCTGATTTATAATGCAACAATGAAAGAAAAACAACTATGAAAGACAGCGACTAACGATAACCACTAGATTAAAGATTCATTGAATTGTACAGACACATATGAATGTAGCAAGGTTTACTTGTGAGCCTCATATTCCCCCATCCCTGACCTTGGTAGGTGGTTCAATAGCAGAACAAACTGTAAAAGATCGTTTTGAAGGGCTCACCAGAGCAATACATTGCCTGAGACGAAGGTTTTTATATATACTCCTATATATGTACGAATATGTGAAAACTGTTATTTCTTATTTGTGTTTGTAACTATGTATACTGTATTGTTCATTATATTTTGTAAAAATAATATTATCATGATATTATATTATGCTCCTTGTGAGCCCATTTGATGGAAATAAAGCATCTTCTTCTTCTTCTTCTTCTTCATAGCACAGAAACAAAAAAAAAAGAGAAAAGGAACCGAACCAAGAGTATAATCGCCATATGGCAAAATTTGGGGTAATTTGCTAATTTGCATAGCGGCCATTTTGCCTTATCATGACGGCAGCCATTAAAATAGGATTATATAGGCCCTTTTAATAAAAATGCCAATATGCAAATACCTATGTCAAATGAACAATTTGTTCGCATATAGGTGAACTGTACATGTTTTTAGACTTCTGTCCGTGTACAAATGGACATTGTCTACTCTGAAATCTTTCGGCCTTTTTAGTTTAAAAATCGGAAGCGTAACCATTGTGTAATTGCTATATAAGATCAAATAAAATGACGTAAAATCGTAAAATAGCAAGATTCAAAACAGAAATACACATGCAAGAAGATATTGTTCATGATTTGTTCGCATATAGGGAAACACCTTGTAGGCTGAATTTTAAAGTTAAATAACTTTTAACTTACCTGCTTTCTTAAGTTTTCGGCCAAATTCTTTTAAAAACATGATGATTTCAACCTTCCCATTTCGTAAAAAGTCAAATTTTAAGCATTTTCCCTTAGAATTACACAGCATTTTTGTAAATATCCGCCAAAGGAAGTTTTTAAAGATACATTAGTTTTAGATACATGACGGAAAAGGACTGGATTATCCGCAAATCTATAATAAATTATATTTTCAATCTTAAGCTAAGGGAAGTAATTTGATCAAAAGGGACAAAGTCACGTGGTGCAAATGATTTAAATAAAGTACCTTTGATTTTGCCATATGCTGCCATTTTGTTTTTTCTACGTTTTTTTTTAATTTATATCTCAATGTTTTGTCATTGAAGTAAATTAGATTGATTGCAGATCTTTAATAGTTATTGTAAAACTGTTTTTCTGGACTCTTAATGTCAATTGGTTTTTGTATCACTGGACTGCTGTCTCCTGAACGTATACACAATATCCTCTTTAGTGCATACTAACGGAGTCAATGACTGTAATCAAAACTGATAGCAACAAATAACATAGGCAGTTAATTGACCTCTTTAACTTTTACATGTTCTTGAATTTGATTTTAAATACCTCAGACCTGCTTATTATGAATAAACATGCGCTACAGTCGTCGGTGACGTTAAAAAGTCCGCGAAATAAATCGGCTAAAAAATCGACGTTTAAACATTTTTTTTCAACTTGTCATGCTTTTATCATAATTGATTTTTAAAGTTTGTACATTTGTGAGCAATATAGTTTCAATACGACATAGAAAAATTGCCCAAAATAACTTTTATTTGCTATTTCTTTATCCTGTTCGTTCTAAAAATTATCAGCCATCTTTTTTGTTCGTCAAAAACATCGAATTTAAATAACTTGACATTTGTGTATCCAAATACGGAAAAGAACGATAACAATTTTAAATGAAACCGGGTAACCTATATATTTCAAATTTCTACACAATTATGAAGCCATAATTTTTTACTCTTATACAACAATTTTAGTGACCACAAGTCATGTCAATTTGTAGTTGGTTTTGGCTTCATTTCTAGTTTGAAACAGTGAATGTTCATCCTCTTTTCATTGTACCTGTTTCCAAAGTACTCTAAATACTGATTTTATTAGAGATATGAATGTAATTGTGATTAAAAGTTGTTGTTTTTTCACAATTCCATACGATACCTCCATTTCAAAGTATCTTAAACCCTTCTTGATCCCCTACACAAATCGACGGTGATATTGTTTTCTTTTTTCAAAATACGTCATATAACGTTGACAAAATATGTGTGTCAGGGTCATGTGCATAGTGAAAATTTACACATTGAAAAGGTAAAACAAAGATCATCGTTTGAAACTGTACGTCTAAGAATATTCCATCCATACTGGAAGCAAATCTGACAAATTAATGATAGCCTATGAATGGAAAAAACACAAAAAAAATAGCAATAAAAAATGCCTTGCAATGAAAATTTCTGGAGGAAAAAACATGAAAAAAGGAAATGAAGGTCAGTTTACTATATTTAGGTTAAAAGTTGAAAACCTTGCATTTTTGGTTATCTCTTTACTAAATAAGCTACAGTAATAAGTGAAAAAAAAAGCTTATAAAGTCAAACAAGAAATTTAATTCATAGAGATGTGTTCTTACAAAATTGAATTTATTCAAATGGCAAACTAATCTTGTCAAATTTATCAATCCATTGATAATTAAGTAAAAGACACAAGAATTGTCCCACCAACTTTCATCTGTGATACAGATATCCAATTATTAAGGTAAAATATGCAATACTTTGCTTATGAATATGTATACCAGCTGATACAACAATCTGAAGAGTAGAAGCCCCATATTTTTTAAGTTTACTTTCATAATCTATAAAATACCCTGAGAAATTTGGCAAGGGCTAATAGCTGTGGTAGCTAATCTAATAATTGAATTTTACAATAATAATGATTTTAAAGTCAAAATTATGTCACTTATAATTTTAAGTATTATTTTTTACAGAATTTCTGTCAATATTTTTGATAAACTTATCTTTTTTCTTTATGATATTTTCTAGGCAGTACTGTACTGTTCAACTAAGAAACATAGGCTTGAATTAAAAGGCTTTTTTACTTTGAAGAAACTAAATTGTGACTCTTGGCCCCACTTTTTTAAAATATAAAATATAAATGATCAGAACTATTTAATTTTTTTTCAGAAAGATTATTTAAATTGTATACAGTATGTTTCATTGCATTAAACATTGTTAGAAGTATTAAAAAAAAAATCCATAGGGATTGATCCCATATCCCATTATAAAAATTACAAAATAAATTTCATCAGCCAGAGCTAATTATAACAATTCAGCTAGGTTTTTAGATCCAATTTTTACCAATTTTTAGTCTTTTAATTTTTACTTGTATCTGAAAAGAAGGGAAGTATCTCTTCTTAATATTATAATAACATAGTTGTTAATCGACTTTCTTTTATTTTTTTCTTCATTTTTGCAAAATAAACTCCTTTTTATTAATTTTGGTGGGTTTTTATTTTTGACTGGTGATATCAAGGGGAAATAACCACTTGCACAAATCGGCAAAAAAACCACCGCTTCGTGTTGAACATAACTTGACGTTTGCGTATCCAAAACTGTATTGCCTAGATATTCATATCGAGTGTTTGTCTTAATAAGATGCTTCATTAAATTTAAATTCAGCCCATCATTTTTAGTTTCCTCGAACATATTTAGATTATTTTATCAGGATCCATGACAATTTTCACACAAGCTTCAAGTTTGAAGATAAAATAAAGAATACAGGACTTTGAGTTGATGTGTAAGTTTTGACGAGTTAAAACTATGTATATTCAAGATTATTTTTATCAATAAGTTTTTACCATGACAGTGGAATTTTAGTGAGTAAAAGTGAGGTTTGTCACTCCATAGTTTTACTGAATTTTCATGGTCACGTGACTCTATTGTTGCTGATAGACTTGGGGTCAAAACGTGACCTGCTTTCCAACTGTATGATGATGCTACTACCTGTAACAAATAACCATCTTTTATCAAAAGTAAAGGAAAGCAGCGAAACAATGTCCAAGTCTGCATTAGATGAAAAAAATGATAAAATATTCAAAGTTTATGGATTCAGGACGAATACAAATCTATAGTAAACTATTGTTACGTCGTCGAAGGAAGGACACTGATACGTCTAAGAACAAGCTACTTAATATGATTAGAAAAAGAACACATAAAAACTTGATATAATGATACAGACCGAAATTATACTCTGCCAAAAAACAAATCGCTTGAGTTTGTACAGGCACAATATATAGTGGGATTAAACCTACTTAAAGTGCAGTTTTTTTTATATTACAGGTTGAGAAAGTATATGAGGTTGCCATTATATATAGTAGTCACTATAGCCAATTATTAAATGATATGAGCAAATCAACCCTAATACGGATAAATCAGTTTGTGCAATACTGATGAAGTTGCCCTGTCGATAAAAATCAAGAGTTAATATTGCTTGTCGGACCAGTCCAGTACGGAAAAAGCCATATTGGCCCATAGGTTATACGGGACGTTCACTTCCGGTTTCAATTTTCTTACGCCTAAGCTTACTTAACTTTCGACGTGTCGTTATGCATAAAATACATTTGTATCATATTTTTTAACTTAAAATAGCATTAAATAGTTTAAATGATGTTCAGTGTTTTGTAACGTCTTAAAACGGAAATATTTCACAGCCTTTTCGAGTAAAACTTTCGATTATTATCACTGTTTCATTCCACTGATCAATCACCAGAACGCAGACTATTCAAGAGTAAGAATAGTTGAACTGACTGATTTATTCTTCCCAGCTACTTTATATTTGCTAGATAAAATGAATTGTAATAGCATAAGATTAGGTACTTAGACGAGAAATCAGAAATTACATCAATATTGACAAAAAAATCCATCGTGAATGCGAAAAGACAAGTTCAGATCGTCTTCATGGTAAGTTTCTTAGTTAAAATCATTCAATAAAAGTGTTATGAACTGGCTTTTTCTGTATTGACCCTGTTGTAGATTCTCGATCAGCAGTATTGGCCATCGACTCTTCGAGTCTCGGGTCCAATACAGCTAACCTCTAATCTATAACAGGGCCAATATAGACACAGCCAGTTAATAACACTATAGTATTTTATTTTGGAAACAAACATAACAAAGGTATAATTTAATACGCTAGTCGTGAGCAGATGTAGAGTTGTAATCTGTTAAAAGCCAAATACAATTTCCATGTACATGGTGAAAATATATTCACTATTAAAACAGCAAAACTGTTTAAACAAATAGCTAGTGAAAAAACCAAAATAATTACTAAAATATTTGAAAACAAACTTTGTAGTTTAAGTCTCAATTTCTGCAGAAAAAAGTGCATAGCAATGTATGCAGTCATCTTTATTCATGTAAAAAGTATCCGGAAAAATAAGAATACTGATGACCGGCAATGTTTTCTGTGTTCCGATGTCTATGTTTGATATACACCTGGTCCCCTTTTTTCAGTTCGATTATCACGCTTGTAGTTTGGGATCCATAATTAGCGTCAGATGTGTATCCGTTAACATACATACGATCATTTTTATTCAATTGGTATCCAAATTTATTTCCTGTCTCTGCATACAATATGGCATTGAAAGCATATAGACCAGACATTGGTGCTGTGAAGATGCCTGTTGATGGCTGATAACCATTGACCCTATTAACTCTGACATCATCAAACTTAACAATTTCGTTTATTTTCACAGCTGTAGGGCGTGTTGTAAGTGAAGCAAAAAATACCGGTCTCGACTTAGAATCTGTGGAAAGAAGTAATAAATATGAAAAACGTGGAATTTGCCGGGAAAATAAAGCAACTTTAAAACTAGTTATTAAAATTATATGTATGTTAACAATAGATCAAAAACATTGAAGAAGAGACAACATAAATTTTATTTTTCATAGGCAAAACATAGTTGTTTTAGACTAAAAAACATTTCTTACACAACGTTGAATGAACCTAAATGATGTGAACCTTATTTTCTACAAAGTCATCTAAAACATATCTTGTTGTGTCACATGATTGTCCAAATCTTGCATTGTTTTTCTTCTTTATTTCAGTGAGGTTGCCAGACTAAATACGATAATATTTGATAGACTTTTTCACCCGTTGTAATCTGCAATTTGTTGATCTTACCCTGCAGCTTTATTATATATCATTATATAAGTTATCGCATTGTTTGAGAAGGCCCGAAAAATTAAGATATATTCTTAACTTTTAATAATTTAGTTCATCCATGAATTGGATTCGCAGGTTATTAATACATACCTACGTTTGGCTTTCCGTTTGTCATCTTCTTCAACATATCTAGAAGATCCTGAGTAATATCTGAAGCGAGATTGTTTATTTTTAATCATACATGCAGATTTCAGTCAAACGCACGTTACTTTTGTAAATTTCTCAAAATTATTGTGAAGCCTATTCGTATAATATTTGTTTATTTCTTGCCAAAACATTTAAATAAAATTGTGAATGGAAATGGGGAATGTGTCAAAGAGACAACAACCCGACCATAGAACAGACAACAGCCGAAGCATATCTTGATGTGCCCATGGTTGTCAAAACGTTTCTATTGTTTTGTAAAATATTTTCACAATGAGGTTGTCGGACTATAAACGGTGGTATTGATTAGATTTCTTTACCCCATTGTAGCTGTTATTAGTTGATATCACCCACAGCTGTGTCCCTTAATGCACAGATGCAGCTTTATGATCATCAATTAAAGAATCAAGCTCAAACTTATGCCAGGATATTTTTTTCGCTATTGTGAATGCCTTGCTGTGGCTTTGTCATGAAGTACAGCATTAACATCGATGCACCTTGTCCATGGTTTTGTCTAGTGGGTGTAGAAAAAAGTAAAGTAACAAAAATACCGAACTCCAAGGGAATTTCAAAACTGAAAGTCCTTTATAAAATGGCAAAATCAAATGCTCAAACACATCAAACGAATGGAAAACAACTGTCATATTCTTGACTTGGAACAGAGATTTCCTTATGAAGAAAATGGTGGATTAAACCTGGTTTTATAGCTAGCTAAACCTCTCACCTGTATGACAGTCGCATAAAATTCCATTATATTGACAACAATGTGTGAGCAAAACAAACACATAATAGGTAAAAATGTCAAAAATTGGGGTACAGCAGTCAACATTGTAATTTAATCTTAATCACTTAAAAACAAATAACTATTTCAACAAAGAAAAACAAATTGGTATATAGACACTCTCTATAGACATAAGTACATAAGCAAAAATGAAAGTCAAGAAAACAAAAATGACCATGACACAATAACACAATGGCGGGATGTATAAGTACCGAGCCACGCCAAAAGAATATTACCAAAAAATGGACTAAACAGAAAAGGTTAAAAATGTACAAGGACAAATAAAAAGACTACTTTAACACGTAATTAAGATGGTAAACAACGTCAATACCTAGAATCTATACTTCAAGGCCATCATTTATGATTTGTGAAGTTGATACGGAATATTTAGCATCAAGGACTTGGTATCCTCCAATGAATTTTTTTACAAAAACGACGAGACGTTCTTTGACATAACCTTGGCTCACCAACTTTCTGCTCAGACACTGGAGACGTTTTATAAAGTCTGAGTAGCAGCTACAAGCTCTTGAATACCAAATGAGTTTGGAAATGTATATCTCATACGCAGGAGAAGTTGGTATATTGGTGTTATGGTGGGGAAAATTTATAATTTCAAAATTAAAATCTTCTTGCTTGTCATCGATTCTGGTACTGTGGATTCATTTATTTTCGTGGGTACCAATTTTCGTGGATTGCGGAAAACTTGCCTTTTCGTGGATATGGGATTTCGTGGTTTTGCCATATTCTGCATACAACCTGATGGTAAATTTGTACTTCGTTGAATATTTGAATTCGTGGTTCACCTGTATCCACGAAAACCACGAAAATTGGTATCCAACGAATATTAATGAATCCACAGTATAAGTATAAAAATAAGGCAGAGTAAGGCGTGTCTTTTGTTTCTTTAATTTCTAGTTCTGGAGGATATATTAATGGAAATTAATCAAAAAAGTTTGGATTGTTAATGCAAAGAACATCATCAATATATCTGAATGTGAAATTAAACAATCTGGCTTCTTTGATCTTCTTGTTTTTGACTAGTGTCTGAAGGAACTCCGACTCATATGAAAATAAGAAGAGGTCGGCAAGGAGAGGCGCACAGTTCGTTACCACAGAAATGCCGACAAATTGTTGAAAAATTCTACCTCCAAATTGAACAAATATGTTGTATTTCTGAAGACCCTCTTTCACTGCTGACATAATTTTTTTCTAGCTAAATCCTTTGTAGAACATACAGATGAGCCGGCAATGTATCGTTGTTTGTACGGATTTTTGTGAAGCTTAGGTATCCAATACAAACACGGTAAGTCCTCAGATTTGCTGTTCTATATAATGTTCATTGAAGCCATAAAGGACTTATGATTCGCCAAAATCTCATCCTTGTCAAATGATATGTTTTGGTATGTGGGATTACTTGAGTGCTCATTTATTCCTTATTAGTTTACAAGACACTCGTAGTAGTACGATTTACATACAAAGACAATATTATTTGAAACTTTGTCCGCAGGAACAACAACATATTTATCGTGAAGAGATGATAGACATTTCACAGCTTCTTTGTCTCTGAAAACGGACTTTGGTCGATCAATCACACAGTTTTTGAACTTATGAATTCGACGTTTTATCAGAGACCTGATTGTTTTGACCAATTCTGACAAACTGTCAACTTCTTCTCGTTTAGCCCATGCTCTGGCGTTGTCCTCAATGGAATCCATAATTATTTTGAAGTTATGATTCCAATTGATGTGTTGGTGTTCTCTGAACTTAGGACTATGAAATATATCACCTTTCGGAGATGTTCATGTGGAATTATGTTTAGATCCCCAGTAATACCATCACCAGAGGGGCTGAAAATATAAGGCTAGTGGGAACAGTCACATGTCAGAGGTTTGTTTTTGGTATTCTTCTAAATCAAGGTCCTGCAATGATTGCTTATAGTTTAATAGTTTAGGAGCAATGGTTTTGGTGTAACTGTGGGATACAATAAGAATAGACTGATTTTAAAAAGAAGAATGGAATTTTCGATGTTGCCTTATTGTGAAGCAGAAAGTTGATGATGTTGATAGCATCAATTCCTTTATTAGTTAACTTAACTGGAAGGAATTTTCTTTTCATTATATAAAGGTTCAGATCTTACTGGTTTAAAAAGACAGAAAAGATCTACATCACAAATTATACTGACCATTCTGTATATTGGAGAAAATGTATTCGAGCATCCTTTGTCAAGTACATAATCTCTCAAACATTTAAGAAAATTAACAGGCAATGAAAAAAAAAGAGTAGTTCTATTGTAATGTAACCCTAGCGGATGATGAAGATGTGAAAGAAGGTCATCAAAGCTCCCAGAGGGCGATCTAGATTTGGAAAACTGTTTTACATTTGGCTGATGGTTATGTTTTTGCCCATGACTACGCTGTGTCTTAAGGTAGTATTAAATAAGCTCATGACATTTACATCACTGCAGACATTGCAATACCTAGTTCCCTTATTCAGAATTTAATTTTCTCTATCTTTTCGAAAAGGAGTACTTAGTATAGAGCTATTGGTGTGGTGATAAATTTTCTGGATGATGCATACTTTCATAGATAAAGAAGGATCATGGTCCGGTTGATTAAAATGGTGATATAGAACCCTGAATTGCGGATCTTTAAAATCAGACCGGTGTTTATTCATCCTTTTACGCTAAGTTTGTCGAGTTTCACCAACATAAAGTAACCCACATAAAGTACATTCATTTCCGTAATCGACATTGTCCGTGAAACAGTCCAGAGGCTCAAAAGATTTTGTATAATAAGTTTTCCCTGTTAAGTTACTAGTGAAGTCTGCAGAAGTGATTAACATATTACATGTCTGACATGTGCTTTTCTTTCTTTTTTCATGTTTACAGGTAGAAATGATAGGAGTTGATGCACTAGTAGCGGGTGTCTTTAAAAAGTCGAAAATATTAATAGTACATTGGGGATTTTTTTTTATTATATCACGAATGAATACAGTTTTCCTTTCAACGTTACAATAACAATGATCCACATAACCCATCGATCATGAAACACAAGATACAACAGATACAATAAGTCTGCTTCATACCTTGACTTCCATCTAGAAATTGACAACATTTTTTGTTTCACGAATGAGTACAGTTTTCTTTTCTGCATTACCATAAACTCATTAAAAGACCTTACAAACATATATCGAAATATATAGATATATAGATGATGTCTTCTCACTAAATAATTCAAGGTTTGGTGACTATGTTGAACTCATCTATCCCATCAAACTTGAAATACAGGATACAACAGATACAGTTAAGTTTGCCTCATATCTTGACTTTCATCTAGAAATTGACAATATTAGTCGGCTGAGCACAAACATTTGCGACGAAAGAATCTACGATTTATGAGTTCGAATATCACTTTGGTATCTCTCGCCTTTCTTTTATATAGTTTTATAAAGACTTACCAGTTTGTCGATAGCAACTGCCAATTGTAACATCAAAACATGTCATTAAACAAAAGAAGTATAAAAACTGCATGATTAAAGTTCACTCAAAACTGTGTTCGTAAGTTTGAATCTATATGTAAACCTATTAATTTGTAACACGACACTCCTATGGACCAGATGGTCTTGGTAGTGTGTCAGGTTATTCCAAGAACTGATTGATAGTGCGGTTCAAAACAACAAGGGAAAATAGAAAAAAAAGCAATTCCTTCAAAAAAAAAAGAGAAACATAGAACTTCAAGTGTTGTGAATCTGAAGAAATCTGAAATGCCCATGCTTGATGTCCTTAACTCGCGAATAAGGTTCACGCAAAAGTGTAGGGTGGATAAATATTTCAATTTCCATGCAGAATTTCGCGAAGAAAATTTAATTGTTATGTCGAAGTTTGAAAATAAAGTGTCATGAGTTTTGGCTATTATCGTAATATTATTGCCTTATATAAAGATAAACGGGATAACATATATGTATTTGAAAATGACACTGGAAGAGGCAAAGTCTTCTGTTGATTTCAATTAGAGCTAGCATCCGCGAATTAATGATTTCTAAATCTGAATTTAGATTCTTTTTGTTTCAACTCTTACAGTTCAGAACTAGTGATGTTTTCTATTTTTTTTTTATATATCTCTTTGTTATGCTCTATAAGTTTTGTGTTTTGTGAGTGTGATACTGTAAACCAACGAATTTTTGCGAGCGAGTAGGAAAATAACACGAATATCAGTCGTCGCGAATATTTAAAAATTTGTTGTCCCTTTTGTTGTGTATTTCTTTGACTTTCCATTTGGTTTTGCATTTCGTTTACATAATGAAAGGAAGCATAGAAAAGTGCTCTGTGCGCAATAGAAATATTTGTGACTTTTTATACTATGTTTCATATCTAAATATCTGTTTATCTTTATTTATCAGAAATGGCAGAATATTGGGTTACGTCAATAGACACGAAAAGACCGAATTCACTCTAACGATCGAAATTTTATCAGATTAATCTTGAAACATACGAAGTTTGAATTGTATATCTACAAAGATGAGACTGCTTCAAAATTTCAATTTTATAAATATTTAGAAAGCTTTATTAAATATGGCATATTTCAAAAGAGTGGCGAAAGACTCCTAAGGGACAACCAAACTCGAAAACGAAACAGCTATGACAAAAAAATAACCTAGTGACAAACAACAATACATAACACAGAAAACTGAGCAAGACGAAACCCACCATAAACCTGATTTGATCTAAGGTGCTCCGGAAGGGTAATCAGATCCTGCTCAACATGTGGCACCCATCGTGTTACTCATATAAGTATAACCCTTGTGAAAAGTCTAATTCGGTAGGTCACAGTCGAGGAAAAGAGGACAGAAGCGTGGTTACGACAATTGGAACATATCCTTCGTCATCTTTAAAACAGATTTTCCATAACGGTCAACCTACTCGTGATGGTGTCCTTAAAAGTTTCGAAGGAATGATTTCAATTTCACCATTTGGAACTCTTGGTTTATAAGTTTCCTTGTAACATTAACCCTTATCAAGGGATAATAATGAAAAATGCGGAGATTTATAGTCCATATGCAGATGCTGCTGAAATGTTGCTACATAGAAATGGAAAGTTCATAATTGGAAAGCTAAAATCAGCTCGTTTGTCGTAAAGTTTTGTTCTCAACCGACCCTCATTGTCAATTTCTGGAAGTCAGTTAAGACTCACGACAGACATAACTGTATCTGTTGTATCCTTAATATCAAGTTCAATGCGACAGTTGTGTTAAATATAGTCACGAAACGTTGAATTATTTAGTGAGAGATCATTGTCTATATAGCGGAACGTGAAATCAATTGATAATGCTAGCTTCTTTTAATTCGTTCGACGTAGCTCCTGAAAGAAATCTCAGATTAATAAAGGAACAAGTCGAATAGAAAAAGAGCACAATTGGTTCCCATGGGAATACCAGTTATTTTTAGAAAAACACTCCCTCCCTCCAAACGAAATAAATATGCTGCCAACCAAGAAATCAAGCATCTCAAGTCAGTTTCATAGAAATTTTTGTTTGAATCTGATCGGGTGTTTTTCAAAATATAAAAAATAGCGCTTATGTGCTTTTACCGAATAAAAAACGTTTACAAAAACAAAACATAAAACTTAATGCTATAGACTCAGGGCAGCTCAGTGGCATCTAGACTACTGTGGTAGTTCTTTCGAATTGCTTCACATGTTGGTATCACATCTCCTTAATATCATATTGTATAAAATATAAGTATTTACTTATCTCTAAAGAGAAGACAAACTGACAGCGCCACGAAAAACAAAAACCCCAAAACTACCAAAAGACAAACAACGGTCTACAAAACACAACATAGAAAAACTAAAGACTGAGTAAGCACGAACCCCTCCAAAAACCAGGGGTGATCTCAGGTGCTCCAGAAGGGTATTGATGAAAAATCGTTTCATAGAAAATTTGTAAAAGAGAAAGGTTTTATTACTGTATGTATATCATAAACAAAGTTTACCTGATATCACCACATAAGGTAACGTGTTATATATCAAATACAAAATGTAAACAGATAACAAAGTAACAGCATCTAAGACAATATATTTGACATCAGATTAGCAGAAAGCTGTTATATGTGCTGTTCATTTAAAGACTTTCACGAAAGTATTCATTTTACATGATGTAGATTTCAATAACCACAGAAACGCTTTTTGCGACAAAAAAGTTTTACATTCGTGGTTATATATTTTTATAATTTTGATATCGAAAAGTAGATTTCTTGTTTCATAGCGTAAAATGTATTTATTCATTTCCATATGCGTTTGATGCTGTAACAACCATTTTCTAAGCATCTATTCTCTTAAATAAGCTGATTAGATGAATTATCTTCCTTTAAGGAATTGCATAACATGTTTTGTTTTTATCGCACTGTTTATTTTTCACACATAACTGCGCTTAAGCGTTCGCTTCACCATAAGAAAAATATCAGTTGAGACAATAAATTATGACGATATCATACACATAAATAGTATTTTGATACGTCCATCTGGCTTGTTATACACAGTATAAAAAAACAAATACAATAGAATCCAGGCCTTGCGGTCATAAAAATTTCGAGAATGATTATCGTAATCAGACTCAGATTTCAACCAACATTGATAATGGATTTGGTATTTATAGCACATTTTTTTACTCCGATCACTGACTATAGTTTTATGACCGACAGCCCTAAACTAAAGAAGATCATACTCGGGTCAATTGTTTATATTTGGGAAAAAAGGGAGCAACACGGTTATTGATTTTGTGTTGTTGCTGATTTAGGAATTCACTTTAAAACAAATACAATTAAGGTTTTGCCACTAAAATAAAATCTTCCACTCGATTGTTCCAAACAGGTTTACAAGAAGACCGAAAGTCGCTTATAACAGAACAAACATATTGTTTAATTGCTTGCTGGTGTTTAACGCCATTTTAAGCACTCTTATCTATATATTTGCGGTTTAAAGAAAGATAACTAAGGCACAGACCCTTAATCAGGTGTGTGTGTGCCTGGGTGGTGAGGGGGTTACTTAATACAAATTGCATTATTTTATAAAATACAGAAGACGTAGGTGGGTTAAGACTGAGAGATCATAAATACAACTAAGGACAAAAATACTAAATGAGTAAATGAGCACTCGTGTTACAGCTATCTTCAAAGACTCAAATGTTCAAAGGCAATTGTCCTACCTCCATGACAAATATATGTGATTGTTCTGCAGACAAAGCCCCAACCAATTTAGTTTGTGTTTGAAACTCTCATAACATTGACTGGTTGATAAAGGAATAAGGTGCCGACAGTTGACTTGGAAACCCGACATAGGACTACATATACGTCCACAACACTTAAAAAGAAATCCTGAACAATCATAGGTTGGATGTATGTGTCTGCGAATTTCAACCAAGATAAAGACAATAATCTTCCTTCACTCTACTGGATATCCAAATGTATAGGAAAGTTGTAAAGCTGGGGCTGTCCAAACGCTCCACGAAATCTTATTTCAAATTATTAACAACTATCAACAATAAAAACCGGGCTTCAAAGTTAATTTGAAACCACAATTCTTGATGTGGATACTCAAAATATCAAAAGATATATTAGAGAACTTACAATCAAAATCCCTTTCATAAAGCAATACTATTAAACATTTGACTTATTTACTCTTTACGAATGCAATCCCCATTCTAAATATAAAATCAGCTTAAAATGAGTTTCATAAATCAGAATAGCAAGGGTAGATACGAATATCTTAATTTAGGAAGGAATAAATCACACAAAAAACCCACTCTAATGCGAAAAAAAAAGTTTCATGAAACTGACATCATAAAAATGGCGAATTATTTTATTTACTACATATTTGTTACGTTTGGTGGAACGTGATTTTTATCAGACAATGCTATTCCCATGGGAACCAACTGTGTTCTTTTGCTTGCCGGCTTGTTCTTTCGTTTGTATGAGGCATAATTCAGACAGAAGCTTCTACCGAAAAATGAAAAGAACTGGCATTATCCTTTACTATAAAAACGGCTATGTTGTATGCTTAACTTCACTTTCCGCTATATATGGATAACGTCTTTTCATTTAATAAATGACTACATCTATCCAAATGAATTTGAAATAAAGTATCTTACATAAAACAGTCATGTCTGCCTCATATAGAGACTTACATCTAGAAGTGTGCAATGATGGGCGGTTGAGAACTTATCTTTACGATAAAAGAGACGATTTAAATGTTTCTGTTTTGAAATTTCCATTTCTGTACAGTAGCAACATTCTACCACATTCATGCCTAATATATCATGTACTGTGTTACAACTCTAGATTCTACTGACGAGAAAAGGTACCACTAAGCCACCGAAAGCTGAATTTTTAGTTCAGTCTAGGTGGCCGAGTGGTCTAGAGCGATGGACAAAGAGCAGGCGGTGTTGTCACGATACCCCAATAGCAGGAGTTCGAATCCCGGCGAGGGAAGAACAAAAATTTGCTTCCGCAAATTTGCAGATTTAACGTTGTTGTGATGATATTTAGAGTAGTTAT